GTACTGGTCCCACTCTCTTCTTAGACTGGTTGAGCTGGGCCAGGGCATGCAATGGTTTGGGCTGGGCCCAAGTCCTCTGTGGCCTGCAGGGAAGGAAAAGTCTTGGAGCCAGAATTGTGTGTGGAATTAGCTGGAATCCCTTCAAAAGCCTGCGACACTTCATCTCCTCAGCAAAACATCCGAGATGCTGCACATTTATTTACTGTGATGTTCCAAGTTATAAAGAGGCTTTCTATACCACCCTGGATACACCCTGGATGGGAGCTGGCATTGTCCCTTCTGCACTTGGAAAAGCCCGTAAATAGGCTGGAGGAGCTCTAGGAGCACAGGGGAAGCCTGGTGGATGTTAAGTCAGTGATAAACCTGCTTTGAAAGTAGAACCTCTGCGAGCATAGAAAAGGGCCAAGATTTTGGAAAAGATTTCATACTCAGTACTGAGCACTGTGCTCAGGAAAACCCAATTATCCAGGACAGCAACCCAGAGAGGCAGAACAATCCCTGTCCTTGAAGACACACAAAAGCTGACTGGATGATGGCCAGACCAACTGGACTTCACTGGCTCCAGCTGGCTCTGGAGATTCTCTGAGTGTCCTTTCACCCCATTATCTACTGGCCGTGGAACTGCACATCCCCGACACCGCAAACAAGTCTCAGTTGCACAGAGAACAGCAAGGCTGTTCCAGTCAGCCCCAGAGCACTCCCTAGAGCTCAGCTCTCCTCCTTGGCTCCCTGGCATGAGATACCCACAGCAGAGGACCTGCTGGCCCAATCCCTGAGCTGGGTGCCTTTTACACACAGGAAAATGTCTCCTATCTTGACAGCATTCCCACAGTCTTGCGGATAAGCCAGAGGGTGCCCCTGGAAAAACAATCTGCAGGAAAGCTGAAATGCTGGAGTGAAAGTCTGGCTGGTTTGCATTTGAATTTCAGTAAAAATGCACTTAGACCAATGTTTGGCTCCAAAAACCCTTCCAGGTTTGAAAGCCTAAGAGCCTTGCTAAAGCAGTTCTTGGCAGTGGAGTACTGTCTACAGAAGAAACACCAGTTCCCACTGACAGACACAGGATGGGAACTGCCCCTCCCTTACACCCAGACACACCTCAGGACTAGCATCCTGTAAGGATGGATTTTACACCTTCACCTGGGGATCATCCTGGAAAACAAGGGCTTATAAAGCCACTTTATAACCTGGGATATCACAGCAAATAAATGTGCAGCATCTCAGATGTTCTGCTGAAGAGATGAGGCGTTGTGGGCTTTTGATAAGATTCCACATACAAATCTGGCTCCAAGGCCTTTCCTTCCAAGTAGATTGTTACTAAGCCCTTCCACCAATGCAGTGACTGACTTCATTCCTCCTGAACAGGACTTTCTCTGGCCTCTTCTCCCTTGCTGCAAAGCTTGCCCTCCTAACAGTGTAGCACAAGGAGAGAGAGGACCGTGCTGCAGGACATGGGTTGAAGGATGTTGGGTTTTGCTGTTTGCAGGTGTTTTCAGGGACCTGTTTTGAACTGAGATCACCTGGATTTGCTTGGACATTTGTAGCCCCACACCCCCAAGACTGTGCAGTAGCACAGGGGAGGGTAGTTTTCCACTGTGTGCATTCCAGAACTGGCAGGAAAATAGAGAGGAGCAGAGGCAGCATCACAAGGGGAAACATGAGAGACTTCCCTTGGAATAATCCCTTCCATGGAAAGGGGTTCAAACAACTGTAGGCTCTTCCAGATTACACCTTCCAGATCCCTGGGATCAATCAGAAAGAGGCTGAGTTGTTATTTCCACAGCCTGACTCTGGAAACTGCACCCAGTAACACTTTACAGAGATGGTTCAGCACTGGCCCTGCTCCTGTTCCCCACACATGCAATAAAAGAGTGTGCTGGCAGCTCAGAGAATTCCCCATGGCATGTTCAATTGTGGCTGATGTCCTTTAAAATAATCAGTGCATCCTCCAAAACACTGCCTGCATTCCCTGCTCCTGAAAACTGCCTGCTGGAAGTGCTAATGTGCTGTTAGACTCTGTGTGATGATTATAGATGATAAACATAATTATTTTGGGTCCTGATTGCCTCTGCTGTCTCCATTCTGTTGCTGATGTGTAAAGCAATCTCAGTGTTATCAGTTTTATGGGCAGAGTGTGGAGGTAGAGATTTATTCCTGAAGCCAAACCCTCAGGGAACAACACCCCTCTCCCCCCTCCCTTCTGAGGCACTGAGCTGTGCTGTGACAGATTCCTGCCTCTTGGAACGTGGAGTCTTTAAGATGCACCTGAACACTGCCCAGACCAGGTCAGACAGTGATGGAGGTGGGTTTCCCCATCCAGCTGTAAATCCCAAGGGAAGGAAAGCACTGGTGATGGAGTGGGAGTGATTTGACTGACCACTGCCCAAAGCAGTGCTTCAGGCAGGATTTCATGGAGATGAAGAAAATCAAGTCTCCTAAAGCAGCACAGTGGCCCATTTGACCTGGGGGTACCGTGTGTGCACCCCCGTGGGTGGGGAGCCCTTCATATTAGGACCAGCAGATGCCTCAGGTTGGGATCCAGAGCACAAACCTCTGACTTTTGTTTTAAACCCCTGACTAATCCATCCTCCAAAAGAGCGCGGTTCATTTCCAGCCATGAGAATAAAGCACTGCTAAGCCCTATGGGGAGGATGTCATCATCCCTTATAGAAGAGGTGAGAGACAGGAGACACATGCTGTGAGAACTGTAGGGAACTGCACAGGAGAAATAACCAAAGGAAGGCCCACTTTTTGTGTTCCACTGTCTTCTCTTTACTATCCTATTGTCCTGTTTATAGCCTTGGGCTTTGAACTCCCTCTTGGACTATCCCTGCCACATCCTAAGAGAGATGGAAGTGTCAAGGTCTGGACAGCCTGCACAGCACCATAAACTTTCCTGCCAGTGCAGGAGTAAGGAGTAACTGGAGAAGGCTGAGGAGCAGAAGGAATAGTGGGATTGGCAGATTTTAAGCTCCCCAAGCAGCCCTGCTTCCCTCCACACTAACCCCATCATGACCTGGCTCCATAGAGACAGCCACTGCCTGGAAAACAACTCACTCTTTAAGTTTTATTATTAAATAAATAAATCCAGCCAGCTATCACAAGGTCCTGCAGCCAGAGCAGCTAAGAAAAGGATTGGAGAAGCCAGAAAAGCTCCAGTGAGAGCAGGTAACCAGAGACGTGTTTAGCACAGAGAAGAGACAAGGCTCCTCACATGAGCAGGCTGCAGCCCCACAAACATCCCCCCTGGCCTGGCCTGGCTGTGCAGGGAATTTACATGTACAGGCAGGGAGACGCCAAGCCCTGGCTGCTCAACAATCAACTTTTATTCTCTGCAGACCAGCAAAGCCAAGATTTCAGTAAACACACAACCCCAAAAATGTGCCTGCAGATTGGGTAGAGCAGAGCCTGTGCTCTGCCTGCCAAACTACAAAGCCCTGCTCCGGTGGGTGGTTTCACGGTGAGGTTTCTGTGGGGAGGAAGTGTTTCCAGTGGTCAGGGCAGGGAGCAGGGCTCCAGGAGACCTGGATCCCATCCCTGGCTCTAGGAATCTGGAAAGCTCTGATTGCAGGAAATCTCACACACACTCAGGAGCTGCTCTCCCTCCGCCCATCCCTCCTTGCTGAGGCACACACTCCCTCCGAGGGGAGGCTGATAACACTGCCTGACCTTGCAGGGGTGCTGCGGCGCTGGGTGATTGATGCCTGAAAGGCTGTCAGAGCTCTCTGGATTAAAATCTCTCTAGAAGGCACTGGGAGAAGGCACATACGGGTGCAGACACGTGAGAGGGAGACAAGCAGCTCACACACACTCTGCTCCCCCTCCTGCCTGCAAATCCCCACACGGACTTGCTGGGCCCGCTACTCTGCATTTTAAATATTTACAAGATGGGCCTGCAGAAAACTTGGGGTTTGGAGCAGAGCAGCCAATACTCAGCTCAAAGCTGCCCTCACAAACCCAGCCTGCTGCTCGGGCTGCCCAGGCTCAGCCCCAGCTCTCCTGAGCCCAGCCCTGCTCAGTTTGGCCGGCTGGAACCTGGGACCTCCTCTGGCCCTTGGCATGGCTTTCTCTTCCTTTCACCCTCCATGTCATTCACATACTGCTTACTCCACCTTTGACCTCATTAATGAAAACAATAAAAAGGCTGGAAGCCTTGATCCTTGTGGCCTGCCTTTGGAAAAGTATCTCCTTGACCAGCTCCCATCACCTCCTCCATGGGAAGGACCTTGCCTGGAGGTGTGCAGAGCTCCTAGAGCAGCTCCTTTGCCCCACCAACTGCACCAACAATTTCTATAACAAATGAAAAAGGAAGCAGGAAGGAGCATCACTGTCACAGCATGGCTCTGTGTTGAGCAGCTGTGCTGGGCTTGGCTCTTTACAGTATTTTATCCAGCTTTTGGGCTCCTTTCCTGTCCTAAACAGATCTGAACACTGTTAATTTTTCTAAATCTTCTCTTACCTTATTGACTGTGTTTCAGAAATAAGGTGGAAGAAGTCAACCACAGAGGACCAGTTTATAACTTTGTAAGCTACTTCCCTCAAGTGGAGGGAATAAAAATCATTCAGCTGTGTGTCACAGGCTCTGTGTGTACCTCAGGTAGGAGGAAGATAATGGGAGATGGACACCTGCACAAGGTAGAACCTACCAACCTGTCTGAAAGGTGCTAGGAGAATAGGAACATTCCCAGTGACAGTGCAGAATAAACTTGCCCACCGCACAGACCTCAGGGCACACGGGAGGCACCCTTTGTGTCAGATCCCAAATGTGCAGGTGTTCTGAGAGCCCAGCAAGTTCCCACATGGACAGCTCATCTACATCCATGCCCAGGTTCTGGGAACATGCTGAATACAAGCTGAGATGAGTGACAAGTGCTCCTACACAGCATTTCGGCACAAATGGAAGAGACTGCTTAGAAGCAGCTTGAGGGGTGAAAGACCTGAGTCTTGTGGAACAAAGCTTTCCTGCTTCCCAGAGCTGGGGCTGAGAGGCACGATGGGATGGAGGGCACCAGACCCAGCTGAAGGAGCTGGCAGAACTGGCGGTGGGACCTGCACTCACCCCAAGGCTCTGTCTCATCTCGTGGTCACTGTTTTCCTCAGAGAAGCCAATGAAACATAAACAACGAATCCTCATTTCACTGTAGTTCTACAGTTGTGGAGAAAGCGGCCCAGCTCCAGCCTCTTCCCTGGGCTGCAAGCAGGAGGATGTTTCATCTCCTGCAAATGCTAAGAGATAAGAGAGGTTTAGCATGAGGCACGATTTGTTTCTGATCAGTCCAACAAAGGGACACACAACCCGTTTATCACTGGAAATTAATTATGCCATCAATGCAGATGCCTGCAATTACTTCTGTTAAATATTATCTTTAATTAACTGTAAAATATATAATTAATAAACTTGCCCCCTCATTTTTGTTAAGTTTCACTGCTAAGACCTTATTACTGAAATAAATCTTCCTAGCAGCTCACATTGACAGAACAGAGGAAGGTGCACGCCTCTAGTACAGGATAATTTCCGTATGGGAAGTGGAATTAAGAGGGAGGAATAATCACCTCTCTTCGTGGCTAGGACGGTAGAGACACCCCACTCTGCCACCAGTTGTCTCAGCTCGTGCTGCTTGGAAGCAGGCACAGAGAATCTGCTTTGGCTGGCAGGGCTGGCTCGCTCTGAAAGCTGTCAGGCAGAGGCACGCTCATCTTTCAAGCCCGGAGAAACAAAAAATAAATTTCCTTTGCTGATTTACAGTCCATTAAAGAAGTTTTCTGACTGTAAAACTGCACAGAAAGACCTCGGTGGTTAGGCTGGTTTTTTAGAAGCCCCATGTTGCTCCAGCTCTCAGTGCTGTGCTAGAGCTGCATGACTGATTTGCTCCCCACATACATCAGAACTGTTTGGATTCAGGGAGGTTTGGGGATGGCTCTTAAACCATCCCAATTAGAAACGCTTCAAAAACATTGCTGAAATTTGACTCCAAGCATAAAATTCCCCTTAGACTTTGTCTCCACTTGTGATCTTTACCTGAAGTTTGTTGATTGCCAGATTAACCAGAGGTAATTAAAATATTTCCAAAGGCTGTTCTGGGCAACACTTTTTGCCTTTCTGCAGGTGACAAATGTCGGCGGTTTGCCTGAGGCTGATGTTCCCTCCTGCCTGAGCTGAGCATGCCAAACCCAGAGGAATGCCTGCTCCATCACCATCCTCCCTGCCTGGGGAAGGTGGCACAGGAACCCAGGGACTGCTGGCATGAGAGGAGTGTACAAGCACAGAGATCCAGCTCCTGGGCATGGAGAGACATGAAGAGGCACACAGGAGGAGAAGGGCTTTTAAGGAGAGTACGGCTTTTAAGGAAACCTTATAATTTCCCTGCTTTTGGAGGTACCTGGATGACCCACAGGCTACAGAGCCATTTGCCCACAGCCTGGCAGTGTCAGTGCAGGTGAACTTCAGAAACAGAAGCACAGAACCACTGAGGTTGGGAAAGACCTCTGTGATCACCAAGTCCAGCCCTCCACCCAGCACCATCACCACGGTCACCACTAAACCATGTCCTCAGGTGCCATATGCACATCTTTTTTGAACACTTTCAGGGATGGTGGCTCCACCACGTTCCTGTTCCAATGTCTGACTATCCTTTCTGTGGAGAAATTTTTCCTAATACCTGGAAATTTTACCTAAACCTCCCCTGGCACAATTTTCCCTTCAAGGCCCTGGTTTGGTCCTATTTGGAGTTATTTCATGGAGTCATTGAAGCTGGAAAACCCCTCCAAGACAATCAAGTCCCATCTATGACTGATACCCACCATGTCACCAGCCCAGAGCACTGAGTGCCATGTCCAGGTAGAGATGGAGACTCCAAACCTCCCTGGGCAGCTCATTCCAATGTCTGAGCAGCCTTTCCATGAAGAAATTCCTTCTGATGTCCAGTCTGAGGCTCCCCTAGCACAGCCTGAGGCCTTTTCCTCTTGTCCTTAGCAGAAGAGGAGAAGGAATCTCACCTCAACCACTGTACCAAGGTTTTGGCAATAAGATGAACTTGGGGATTGTCAGTTCCTGGCCATCCACTACCACTTTGTCACCCCATTTTGCAGCTGGGCAGACTAAAAAGGGCTCTGTGGGTTGTGAGTGCTGGAAATGTACAACCCCTGACACAGAGTATGTCCTGTCTCAAAAAAACATACTGGAGGCCCTCACCCTGCTACAGGCCTGAGTCTAAAGAAAAGGCTCCATTCTCCACTTCATTTAACTACCACTTAAAAATGGTGTTGGACAAATGTTAAAACAGCCAGCCAATTTGATTACACAAAAATTTTAGAGTCAGCAAATTATCTAGTGAAATGATGCATATAGAAATGTTAATTCAACAGCAACCAAAGCCTTCCACATCCCTTAACATCTAAAGATGATAATTCTACACAAAGAAAAGAGAGGCCTGAGCATACTGTCCTTGTTGAAGAAAAGACAGGAATATTCTAGCTCTCACCTACAGTATACCCTATATGCAGTGATATAAATATCAGGGGTTGAGGGAGAGTTTAGAACTGGGTTTGGGCTCTGAAATCATATTATTTGCCCTGGGTTTGCTGGGGGAGAGGCTCCTATATCAGCCCATTCCCACCATGTGCCTCTCTGCAGAATCCTTCTGTATAAAAGTCTAATTTTCCTGTTCTATACAAAGCATAAAGGTACTTTATTTTGACACATACACACACCCACCCTCGGGAGTGAGGACTCTCTGTGCCCCTTCCCAGGCATTTTGTTCCTCAGGATTCCTGCTGGATCAGACCAGGAACACTGGAGAGGGAGAATGGAAGAGTTAAGCAACTTAACTCTCTGGCTCTCAGGCCGCAGAAGGGGAGGGAGCAGGGAGGCAAAGCATCTGGCTTCCCTGCTTCCCTAACAGCCTGGCGGGAAGGCTGCTGTCAATTCTGCCTTCTGCCTTGTTGGAAGAAAGTAGAAGTGACAAGAGGCCCTCTAGGCAGGCAGCCAGGAACCAGAAATTCAATTGTGCTACCTCCTGAAACTGGACTTTTTTTTTGGAGACCCTTTCCCTGAAATTGTTTTGATTTAAAAAAAAGGACTGTCATCGCAGTTCAGGGCCAATTCATCACCCCTGCTCTCCTGGCTCTCCTTGCCTCCGTGCAAGCACATTTGCACAAAAGGATTTCCATTTTCTGGGCTGCTCTACAACCAGCCTCACCCACAATACATACACAGACGCATAAATATGCACACACACACACAAACACTGTTATTTATAGGTACAGGCTCTGCCACAGACAGACGCACGGCCGGGTGTGCTCTTTCGCTGTGTAACACGAGGGCTGCGAGCGCTACGGCAGCTGAGTTTACTCCACACTCACAGCAGAGTGTGGGCCATACGGTCTGTCCCAGGGGCTTAGACCAACTGGCTATTGGCTGGTGCTGTTGTTCTTCTAACAAGCCCCTGGATATATGGCAGGGGCTGCAGAGAAATGCAGCTGGAGGAGCCTCTCCCTGTCAGCAGCAATCTGTCACTGCGCGCTCGCACCCGCCCCGTGCAGCACAAAAGCTGCACGCCACTGTCAGCACAAAGGTCAGGCTGCAGGTAGGCTGGGGGGGGGTTCTTCTTTCTGGGAACGTGCAGCCAGCTTGAAACACCGTCTGGATGCTGCAGCAGGAATTTCAGCCTCACAGATGCCTGGCTATAATTTAAAACGAGGCAGCATTTCCATTACAAACCCCATTTTTCCCTGTGGATTTATACCTCAGCTATTCAGCTCCACTTTGGGGTGGACCTTCTTCACATTTTTCCTGCACAACATTTAAATCCAGCTCAGCCTCTTGTTGGTTGTGAGATGGAGAAGGAAATTACGTATGCACACAAACACTCACGAGCACACACAAAAAGCTTACACAAACATATGCCCGCAGAGAGATCTGTCACAAAAAACCAGACTAGCCGATGCAAATAAGCTCAATTTTAAGAGTGAATTAATTTGACTTGATTATTAGAAATTATTAACAAGTTCCAGCAACCTTAGAATGCAATAACCACACTCAAGCTTTCATCTAGGTTAAATGGGAACAGATAACTTACACTGATAGAGATGATATCAGTATTAATCTGTGACAGCAAAGTTGGAGGCACAAACCTGACCCACTCAGAACCCCTCTCCTTGCAGCAGTGTTAACAACTCCTGGATGCTTCCCCTCCCCTGAAATATTCCAGTGCAATGAATCACCCCCGACAGAGCCAGAACCCCTCTGCTTCCCTGGCTGCCAGGTGAAACCTGACCTGCACAACACTCCTGTCTGTTTATGACTTGCTCTGCCTTAGAAAGCCCATTCTGTTAGGTTTTTTTTAACTCTCTATTGATTCTACTTTGATGTAGTCCAATAAAGCACATTGACAGAAACAATTTACGTTGGCCAGTGCCTCCAGTTCCAAGAAAGCCTTCCTGACATATGAAGAAGGGTTGATCACTTAGCAAGTACTATACAGGTTATCCAGTTATCCCAGATTACCAGGTTCATTCAGTCTAAACCCAGGCCTGAAATGAGGAATGACCTCCTGTTTCTCCCACTCCCAAGCAGAAATAGGTATAATTCCCTCTATGATTTTCTCACACCACACAGAAACATTAGGAAATCTGACAAGGATTTTCTCTATCTTAAAAGGAAAAAACTATAAGCTACCATTTGGAAGGCGATGAGCATTTCCTCACCTCTGATGGCACAGAAACCAATCCTGGGGCACCAGAGCTGGCACTGGTTCCAGAAGGGCTCAAGTACCTGGAAATTGTAAGATGTGCCTATTCACATTTCTGCACAGGTGTGCAAATACAAATTGTTCCAGTGCCACAAAGATCTCAGCAAGGCAGTGAGGAATAGCATGGACTTATCCTATCGACTGGAAACATTGCTGGTGTTCACCTGATATGCTGTATTCCCTCTTCCTTTCCTGGTTTCACACTCAGACCTTGCTCCTTAGGCTGAGGAAGCTAGACTGACCAAGATCATCACTCAGGGAAGACAGTTAGTAGATGCTTAACTGTCTCCTAAGTGCAACCTAACAGTTTCCTTGCCTCTTGCTAAGAGGGCAGAAGAGCAGAGCTGAGAGCTGCAGGGACTGGAAAATTCAGCTCAATTTAGCTACAGGGCACTTTAAAGTGCCTGTTGCATTTTTCATCTAAGCACAGCAAATCCCTTCACTAAGCACCAGCTCAGGTGGCCATAACTCCTGGAA